TTGGGTTAGAGTTAAAAAATTTATAGAGAAGATAATGAAGATCTCATAGAATGAATTGAGGCTTTTGAAAGAGCAGTGGATGCGAATAATTGGACCAATAAAAGAAAAACCAGAATCACTTTAGGATATTTTGCAAGAATTGCTACCACCTGGTATAATGACAAAAAAGAAGAATTAATATACTGGGATGAGAAAAATGACAAAAACTATAGCTTTGTATCTGAGTTTGTTAGATATTTTGCCACCCAAGATCAACATTAAAAATAGCAAGTAGATTTAAATAATCTTATGCAAAAAGAAGAGAAAAGAGTAGAAACATATATGTATAAGTTTAGATGTTTATTAAAAAGAGTAGACCCCTATAGTAAGTTATCTGCTACCTACATCATCAAAATGTTTATAGGAGGGCTTAAAAGAAAAACAGCCTCTTTGTTATTATTACTAGTCTAGATAGCTTAGAGGAAGCTATCCTTGGAGCTTGTAGGATAGAGGCAGGAGAATACTATAGAAATCAAATGAGTAATCAACAAAAAAATAATAATAAAGAAAAATTAGAAAGTGAAATCAAAGGACTGGCCAGACAAATACAAACTATGATGACAAATTATGCAAAACTTACTAATCTATTGGCTGTTCGAACTGAAACAAAAAGCCTAAGAGTAGGAGCATTCACAAGACAATCTAGAAGTATCACTTGTTATAGATATGGAGAAAAAAGCCACATCACTCAGGAATATCTATCTGAAAGAGATAAAAATTCTAATACTAGAAAGATGGGCACTACACAACCTACAAGAATCCAAATACAAAGGAATAAGGAAGTCCACTATTATAATATTACAGAAGAAAGAAATGAAATATATAATATTGCAGAAAGACACTATCCTTATACAAAGAAATAAAAAGTATGTCAAATAAGAAACTCCAAATCCAAATAAAAAAATTGTTTAAGAGTAACTAATCTCACTCAAGAAGAAATACTCTTAGTAGAAATAGACGAAGATGAAGAATATATTCTATCTGATCTAGTAACCAAACTACAGTAAAAAAGAGAACCCTCTATAGTTGATAAAATAAAGCTATATAATATATCAGAAAATCTATTAAATATGCAAGCTCACGCAATGTATAGTCAATTACTTTAATACCTAACTAGCATAGAAACTTAGCTAAATAATAAGAAGACTCCTTTCTATAATAGAAAATAACTATACCCAATCTCAACTGTTAGAAAGAACAACTGCTACTAGATATTATGTCTGTATCAAAAATAATCTGATAATAGCAATCCTAGACTCTGAAACAGTAGTCAGCATTATAACAAAAAAACTAGCAAATAAATTAGGCTGAGCTATCTTCTACTGTAGTTATAACTGCCACCTAGGTAAGAAAGAGAACTTTAGAGCAAATCCCTAATGTAAAATTAATAATCGGGAACATACTAATACCAACTAGTATACAAGTTATTGACTCCACAGATGAGACACACTTACTGGATATAGATTGGTTTCAAAAAGGTCATATAAGAATATACTTTAACAAACAAAAGTTGTTCCTGCATTATCAAGGAAAAATATTGAGATTAAAATTTCTAACGTAGGAAATAACAAATTAAAAGAACTAGAAGAAATGTTAGAAGATAATGAAAGCAAAGAAGATTTATTCAATAATTTTGAGGAAGAAGAGAAGCTAGAAGAGGTAAAGAGTTATTATATAGATACAGAAGATTTGTATAAAAATCCTTAGAAAGAAATGGAAAGTCTAGTAGTATATCTTACTACAATAGAGGAGCTACCAACAGAAGAACCAAAACAAGATATCACATCCAAAGCCTTAAAGACCTCTATGTTTAACCTAGATAATAATCTAGAATCAAACCAAAAAGAAGCTGCAAAAGACTTGTTAAAAAAAGAGAAAGATTTATTTATAAAAGAAGTCAGTAAGCTAGAAAGGACCAACATTATTAAATATGTAATAAATACAGAAGATTTATTCCCAATTAAATAGTATACATACCAGGTAGTACCTAGTGAACAAGATTTTATTAAAAGTGAAGTAGAAAAGATGAAAAATAAAGGTATAATCTGTGAATCTTTTAGCCTGTGGACTTCGCCAGTAGTTATCATTCCTAAGAAAGGAGGAAAACTTCGATTATGTATTAATTATAGGAAGCTAAATAAAGTAACCAAGAAGGATGAGTACCCTCTCCCTAGAATAGACAATAGGCTAGAAATATTTAGCAAGGCCTAGTAGTTTTCAAGCTTAGACCTGGCTTCAGGATATTGGCAAGTAGAAGTGGAAGACAAGAATCATGAAAAAATAGCATTTGTTATTAAGTTTGGTATTTACAAATTCAACATAATACTATTCAGTTTGTGCAATGCACCAAAGACATTTTAATAATTAATGAATAAGGTATTGAATAAAATAATCAGAAAGTATGAAGCTATCTATCTAGATAATATTATGATATACTCAAAAGATTTTAAAGAACTTGTCAATCATCTAGGTTACATACTAAGTTTAAGAAGACAAGCTAGATTAAAAATTAATGCAGAGAAATATCAGTTCTTCTTAAAGAAAATATAATTTCTAGACTATATAGTAGGACAAAATAGCATTAGACCAGATGATACAAAGATTATTAAAGTAAAAGAATTCCCTAGGCCAAAAAACCTTTGCCAATTAAGAGACTTCATTAGTCTCATCTCTTATTATAAAAAGTTTATCAAAAACTTCACTACTATCACCATACCTTTTCATAAACTACTACTAAAGATGTGCTATTTAACTAGAAAAAAAAACAGTGGAATGCTTTTAATAGTCTAAAAAAACATTTAGTAACAGCTCCTATATTAAAATATCCAAACTTCAAAAAACAATTCTACCTACATACTGATGCCTCTGGAGTTGGACTTAGTGCAGTATTAGCTCAAATAGATAATGCTAGTAATAAGTATGTAGTAGCCTATGCTAGCCATAGTTTAACAAAACCAGAAAGAAACTATTTTACTATAGAGCTTAAATGCTTAGTGGTCATCTGAGCTACTGAATATTTCTATCATTACTTAGGTTTAAAATCTTTTATAATTGTAACTGACTACTCTGTATTAAAGTAGTTAGAAAAATCTAAGTTGATGAGTAGAAGGGCCAAATGAATTATAAGGTTGCAACCTTATAACTATACTATTATCCATTATAGTAGAAGAAAACATTCTAATGCCAATGCCTTATCTAGATCATACAAGCAAGAAAACCAAGAAGTCTATATAGTATAAATAGAAAATGAAAATAACTTACCTAATAATTAAGTAGAAAGTTTCTCTGTAAACATTAATTATAACTCTGAGGAAGAGGAATAAGATGACATAGAGGCTAGACAAATCTCATTTCGGGAAGTATCTTAGGAAGAAGTAGATGAATTAGACTACATAAAAATTAGCAAATAGTATCAACAAGGCCTACAGTACGAAGGACAAGAGTATAGATATGAGAAAATTATACATACCTATTAGCAAATAAGACATAGATTTCAATATGCTTCTACTGAATTAGATCTCAATAAACCTATCTATCTAATCTGTGCAAAAAATAATAAACTTCTGACCAACATGCCTGAGGATCTAGTAATCATTAAAGAATAGATAGTAAAAAGTAAAATACCAGAAGATATAAGACAAATTCTTAATACTGACAACTCCAAAGACATAAGAGAACTATTCCTAGAAATAAACTCAGAAGAAAATTACCTAACACTTCTACTAGAAAGAGTACTAACTTCTCCAAACTTCATAACTGAAGAAATAGCTATACAAGAAAGCAAAAGAGTAGATCAATTTATACTACAAGAAGTTATTTCAGAAGAAATCAATGCAATAATATATATAAAACTCAGGAAGAGAACTAGAACTGAAATAACCTAAACTGGAAGGAAATACCAATAGGACAAAAGGCTATATACCTATTGGCATAATATATATGGGGAACAATAGTCTATAAAAAATATAAACTTAAATAAAAGTCTATATTTAACTACAGAGAAAGGATATAAATTAATAGCTAAAGACCTTGCCTAGCTAGTCTGCACTAAAAAATGGATCAATTCAATAATAAAACAAGAGAAACAAGTAAACATACTTCTCAAAAGGCTAGGATATAATCTAGAACAAGATGAATCTTATGAATTAAATAACATAAAGGCATATATGATTGACTTACTAGGTAATAATAAACTAACAGATCAAGGACCAATAGAAGTAAATTCTTATGAGAAACTCAAGAATAAGAAACCTAAATTCGTTCTAGTAATAGTCTTCAAAAAAATAAGTTCTAAGAGATGCTAAAAACTACAATTAACTGATACCTGTATTAAATATAGTCAAAAGATATTCTTGTATATTCATTCAATATTAGAAATGTATTATATAATAAAGCAACTTTTGACAAGCAGTATACTTTCGAGAATTCTTTACCTTCCTACTTGTGGCTAATAACCCTAAAGAACTGATAGAGTTAGAAAAATGGGTACTTGAAGGAGCTAGACAAGAAGGAATTAATATTAGTTTTGAAGATTTACAAGAAAAAAGAATCGATGCTATATTTATTGAAAGATTTTTAGAAATGCCAATCTAAAGTAAAATAGAAAATATTAAAAAAAAAAAAAATAAAAAAAAAATAATAATAATAATATAAATAAATAATAATAATAATAATATAAATAAATAATAAAATTAAAAAAAAAAAAAAATATTTGTATAAAACAAAGGATATGACAAAATAGAGATGGTCATGATTTTAATGTATGAGAAGAGACATATTATAAGAAAACAATAATTAGTTAGGAAAAGAAAGAATGACTTGTAAGAAAGATAATCAAGAATAGAAAAATAACAAAGATTAGAAGCAAAGAAGTTAAATATCTAAATCTGAAGACAATATTCCAGTTCAGATTTCAGTATCCTAGCATAAGAGAAAGATAGATCTGATTTAGTATTTATAATTAAAAAATTATCTACAAACAAGAAAGGCACTCACCTCTTTTAATTCTCAATAGTGACGATAGTTAAATTCTAAAAGCAAGTTCTTCCAACTACAGAATGGAAAAATATACAAAAAAGATAGAAGAAAAATTGATAACTAGTTGAAGATGTTACAGAAACATAAAGTAAAATCTATATTAAAGGTTATCTATAACCATCTGTTAGAAGCTCATCTAGGTAAAGAGGCCATCTTTAATAAATTAAGAGATCATTATTATTGGTCTCAAATGTACCAAGATATCAGACAATATATAAAGATCTGTGAACCTTGTCAACTATAGAGCAGAAAAAGATCCTGAGGAGTATTATACCCAATTCCTGTTAAAGCCTCTTTTCATCAAATAGGAGTTGATATAGTAGGACTATTATCAATAATCCCATGTAGAAATTGTTATATTATAGTAGCTACTGATTATCTTACTAAGTAGCCAGAAGCCAAAGCAATACCAAAAGATACTACAAAGGAAGTAGCACAGTTTCTTTATAAAGAAATTATATGTAGACATAGTTGTCTAATTCACATGTTTACTGATCGAGACATACACTTTAGAAATAACCTAATAAAAGAGTTAATAAAGTAGTTAGAAATAGATCACTATTTCTCTACCCAATACTATCTCCAAACAAATAGTTTAGTAGAGTATTTTAACAGAACCTTTTGTAAATCTATTGCTAAGTAAACTATAAATAGAAAAGATTGGGACTTGTTCATCCTCCTAGTACTATTCGCATACAGAACTGCTAGACAAGAAACAATGAAGGAAATACTATTTTTTCTTGTCTATGGATAAGAGGCTTATATATTAGTATATCTAAGTGTCTCCAGTACTTATTTAGAAGGAACTGTGCTTCAATAAAAATTT